AGTCTAGAAACCTATTGATATGTCTGCTTTATAGTATGTAGGACATACTAAATAAGATATATACAAAATATGAAAAAAATTAAATGACAGGTATTTTTTCAGCTAAAGGTCCTTCATCCCCTTAAAGGAATTGCCAATCGACAGTACCTATCAAAATTTTACATGTAAAATGGATGTGACTGTACATAGAATAATACTGGTAACTTCGTCGTTTGTTGGTACAATAATTAACAGTTTATCTATTTTTGTGATTCTTAAAAGAGTACTTTATCGTCAAAAACCATTTGTATTCCTATTGAAATTTTTTGTGGCGAACTTGCTCTCATGTTCGGTGGGTGTACCAGTCTATGTTTTGCAAACGTTTTCCCAGATTGTTCAAAACGACACGGCATGTTCTTAACTTGTTTTCTCGTTTTCAGTGCAATATCATGGATATAGTGTTGATATCAATAAACCATTATTTTCTTTTTGTGCGATTCACAAAATATGAAAGGATATATACTCTCCGAAACATGCGATTAATCCTGGTAATATCCTGGGTTATCTACCCCTTCATGTATATGTTGCCTCTGACTAAATTATGGGGAAAGTTTACATTTGATCCATTGAGACTGGTTTGTAATCCATTGATTAATAGCGATGGATTCCGATTTTTCATGATAATATTTTCATCTTTCGTTGCTTTCCCTTCTTTATCATTCTATTACTTCGAAATTATTCAAAAAATAAAATCCAACAACAAACGTTTAAACAACATGCAGAGTGAGAATTCTCAAAGAAAAGAGAATAAGACAACTTATTCGGTCAGCGTTTGCGATTATTTCAGTCTTTTGTGGCTGTAACACCCCTTCTTTGTTGGTCACCATTTCTGATCCTGGTATGGAGAAAATAAGCATCTGGATTCATTGTCTTAGTCTACATCTTTCATTGGTCTATTTTCTTCTTAGTACAGTAGTACACACAAATCAAGTCAAATTTATTTACTATTTTTAACTGAGTTTTCCAAACAAAGACACCTGGAACTTCGTCTATTCAAACCTAGAGACCCTTGTAGAGAAATGCAAAGTATATCATTTTACTGGGGGTTTTTTTTTGTTTATCCAATCTATGAAGAAGTGAAAGTGGTTTGACAATTAAGAGGGCTGGAGGGTTGTGGTCATTTTCAGTCCATTTTGATCTTCTTTAGAAGAAGAGCGCCATATAAAGATATACATAAATGATCAAATTTCAAAATTAAAATGTATCAAATTTTTCTTTACTAAATGACAGTTAACAGCATAAGATATCATATCTAAAACTTTAAGTTATATCTGATGGTTAATTTGTTGACCCTCCAGCCTCCTTAAGTAATGTTCTCGTAATTTCTTTTATTAAAAATCCAACTATCAAACAGATTAAATGTATTTAGTTGTTACACGGTTAATGAAAAGATTATGAAAATATAATTGATGTATCAACTTTTTAAACGATTAAAAAAATTCTTAAAGTCTCTTTAAGGGGGAATGCCACACCAAATCTTATTTCATCGATCCTTACCTTGCTTTACTTTGTTTTATTTTTCATGCTATTTATCACAGGCACCTGACGTTACTTATTTTTCTTTTAATAAAAAAAATGTACTCTTACCTTATAATTTGAGACATTCTTGTTTAGTTATGATTGATTGTACATTATATAAATGGTGCCTGTTTTGGAGAGTAACAGTTGAAATTGACACCCCAAGGAAAACCATTGTCAACCGACGCGTCAGCGGAGGTTAACAATGGTTTTCCTTGGGGTGTCAATTTCAACTGTTACCCTCCAAAACAGGCACCATTTATTTTATTATACTGAATGTCTTCTTGATTTAGGATGTCAGAAAAAAAAAATCGTCGATCGTCTGTACGTTCATGTTTAGAAAGCTTTCAAACTCCACGCTACTTCGAAAAAGATTTACTAACCTCTTTATTGTTTATTTGATACTCTAAGAATCCTTTACCATCTAAAGTTTCGTTATTTCTGCACTCGCAAGCATGTTTCGTCTGTCGTTTGTTGTTTTCAAGTAAGCTACATCGGACGCAAGCTTTTATTGACGTCAAGTTTATTCCGGTTCTTTCAAACGCACAACTGACGTTTTGAGAAATCTACGGTGAACCGTACGTGCATAATTTCCACGCATGTGACATTGCCGTTGTGTTACCAGTTGTCACGTGTGTTGCTAAGGCTGAGGGTAATGAACAGATTGTTAACTGCGTCTAAACCAATCAGATTTTAGTATTAACATGAAAGTATAATAATGTATATTGTTAAACGTCCCTGCCGATAATTTTTCACTCAAATGGAGACGCTATTTAGTTATGGTTTTAGCATTGAAAGGTCGATAAAATCTCTTATCATTGAATATCTTGTTAAAATTTTTTAACATTTTTTTTAAATATAAAATTAATTAACTATAGTACCAAATTCAAAAATTGATTCACTATAGTAAAAACCTTGAAACTTTGGTTTACTATAGTAAAAACTTTGGAACTTTGATTTACTAACAGTAAAAATTTTGAAACTTTGATTAACTATAGTGAAAACTTTGGAACCATGAATAAGTACTGTAAAACCCGTGAAAGTATGTTTTGATTCCCGTTCTGTACACTGTATATGATTTTCTGAGGTAAAGATTCATTAAAGTTTCAGAAAACTTTGTAAAACACGACCCGTCCCCAAAAAGAATAATGTAAAAGAAATGAATTTTAATGTAAAGGTTGTCTCTTGCGCCGATAAATACTAGTAAGCCATATTTATTTAAATCCATTCATGTTTAATCTTATACAAATACTTTAAAATAGAATTTGCGTAATATAGAATCAAAATATTTGCTTCATGAACTTCAGTCAACATGTTTATTTTTAATGTAAATGTTGCATTTGAGTTAATTACTTTGTACATTCAAATTAAAATACACAACTAAAAACATCCCCAAACAACCCCAGATCGATACCTTCTTAAAACATCTAAATAATCAAAATAACTTAGTAAACATACATGAGTTGTTAAACTAATGAAAAAAAACTTCAACACCTTGATTTACTATTAATAGTAAAAACTTTGGAACATTGATTTACTATACTGAAAACTTTGAAACTTTGATTTACTATACTAAAAACTTTGAAACTTTGATTTACTATCATGCTAAAAACTTTGAAACTTTAATTCAATATAGTGAAAACTTTGAAACTTTTATTTACTACAATGAAAACTTTGAAACTTTTATTAACTATTTTGAAAACTTTGGAATTTGATTTACTAAAGTTAACTATAGTGAACTATAATTAACTATAGTTTACTATAGTATTTTTCTCTTAGGGAAATACGTAATTTGCTGTAAGATACTTGTAGGTCAATTTACAATTCTCCCTTAGATTTCTAAATTATTATTGTTTAATTCATATTTTGTGTTATCAAAATTCAGATGCAAATGATCATCGGAAATTATGTAGTGCTTTGTCATTTAGGGGAATTCATTATATATTTTTGAAGAGTGTACTACTGGCTGAGTGTACATTCCGTTTATGAATGCATTAAATGAATATCTAATAAATTATCTAGAGAAATGCTATATAGACATTTAAAATTTAATGCTTAAAATATTTATGAAAATTTAACAAATTATTTGTGAATATTTTTGAATCCCACGATTCAAATTTTCATAAAACTAGTCACAACTTTGAAGAACGTGTTAAAAAATCACATTTTTCAAAGAAATTTAAATGAAATGGCAAAACTATAAAGAAACTACTGGTCTTTCAATGCTGAAACCTTTGTGTGAAATGGATGTCTTTTAGACCTTTAACATAAAATTCTAGTGTGGCATTCCTCCTTTATGAAACATTCATATTGAAAAATGATCCTTACCTTGCTTTACTTTGTTTTATTTTTCATGCTATTTATTTATATATGAACTTCTGTTTGTTAACAAAACATTTCAAATAAGTTAATTTGTAGAAATCGTGTTAAAATATAATCAAGGAAATCATGATTTTTCGAAAGGACAAAATCATTTTGCTTGTACAAGAACCTCCGGCAAACTGGAGAATTTTCCAGAAATTTTCTTGTCTTCGTCTTCACATTTTTTTTTTAAAAGTTATGTACAGTGACTATCTCTTATTAAGGTAAACTGAAGTCCAGAAAATTATGGAGTACTACAATGATTACAGTTTGTCATATTTTTTCATTTTATTTTAGATATAGTTTTGTATCACCGTGGAAACGTAGCTTAATAAATGATCATTAAATTAGATTTGAAGTCATGCTATATCATATTGATACTGTTTACAGGGTTATTTTTGCCCCATGTTATTTTCGCCCTTTTACTCTTGCTTACAATTTTGCCCCGTCATAAATTCGTCCAGTCAGAGTTCTGATTAAGAAATGATACTGTCTTCCTTGAATTCGCCCCGTTTAAAATTCATTCACTTGTGACAAGGGTGAAAGGAGCGAAAATAAAACAGGAGCAAAAATTTCCCTGTACACAGTATTTAAGATAAACAATGAAAAAAAACTTTTTTTTACACTAAGTATGCAATATATAAGCATTTGCTGGATTATGTTTATATTAAATCTGGTATTCTACACCGTACGTATCGATTTCGTAGAAAATAGCAAAGTTCAAAGTTTTCAAAATTTCCACCGAATTAAACTAAACGATTTTCATTTCTACTTGCTACATGTAGAACTTTTTACGTTTGCATTTGCCTATTATCTATATTGGATTGCATTATCTTTTGAATATGATCTTGTAATGTGATTGGATCTTCCAACATTCATTCAATGCTTTCTTCTCTCATCCGTCTTCATCGGATTAAGATTTAGCCTGACAGGAAACGTACAAGCAAAAAATTGAACGATAACAAAAAAAAATTAACAAAAAGAAATCAATAAACGATTTATATATAAAAACTTGCACTGGAAACTGATATGTTACCTCAAATCAAGAGTGCCGTTGATGTTTCAAAAGGAAGAGAAAAAAGATGTCATGGAATAGCAGTGGAAGAGACCTAGAGTCAACAGACCAGGAAATAACATGGAATCTAAGCATGCATAAAGTTATAACTACAATACTTATTGTAGTTGGAACAGTCATTAACTTCGTAGCAATTTTTGTGATCTTAAAAGGAGGACTTTATCGTCAAAAACCATTCACATTTGTGTTGAATTTGTTTGTTGGGAACTTACTGATGTGTTCGATTGGTTTTCCATTGTATATAACACCTGCATTTTCCTCCATCCCTCGCCATGATGTAAATTGTCCTTTCTCTGGATTTTTTATGTTTTCCTTGACCGGAACCTCTCTATTAAATTTAGTGTTAATTTCAATAAACCGTTATATTTTAATCGTGCAGTTTACTTATTATGAAAGAATTTACAGCAAACGAAACACTCTGATGATCCTAGTTGTATCCTGGCTTTTTTACCCGATAATATATATCTTTCCGGTCAGTGAAGTGTGGGGAACGTTTACATTTGATCGACTGAGACTGTTTTGTAATCCACTGCTAAGTTATGATGGATTTCCTCATTTTATTCTCATCTTTACATCTATCATAGCCTTTCCACCACTAACGTTTTGTTATATCGAAATTTTGAGGAAAATAAAATCTAGTAACAAACGAGTGAATACCTCACACACTGACAACACCCAACGGCAAAAGAATGAAAGACAATTGCTTCGATCAATTTTAGCAATAATTTCACTCTTTTGTGGTTTAAATGTTCCTTTAATCCTGGTAAGCATCGTCGATCCAAACGTGGAAAAGATAAACCAGTGGTACCACAACTTTGTTCTTTATGCGGGAATGATGAACTATTTATTAAATACATTGTTTTATTCAATGTTAAATCAACAAATTAAATCATCCTTTAAGAGGACATTTGGATGGCTCTTCAGGGCAAAGAAACCTGGTACACCAGAAATCCAAAATACGGATGTAGAAATAATATCATAATAATAATTACGGATGTGGTTGGAATTTTTGCTGTTTGTTATTTTTAATTACTTTCTTTTCTTGTTCACTCTGTAATATTTACAATTATTCAATATCCTATATAGTAATTTAGTATCGTTTCCAAATATGTTGATATATTTATCTTTTTATCACTTGTACGGAATATCGGAGAAAAAAAAAACTTTTTTAAATTAAGATTTTATGAAATTCAAATCTGCATTCCAAAATTCACAATCAGTCCAGAAATCTTTCAATTTGTCACTGGAAAAAAAACGAACTGTGAACTTTAAGCCACCTTAGAAATAATGGTTTATTTTTTATTTATTTTTTTTTTGTTTTGTTTGTTTGTTTCTTTTTTTTTTTTTTTTTTTTTTTTTTTGTTTGTTTTCTCACGACTCAGGATGAAAACAAGGCCGTGAGTAGATACGAAATATTTTTTGAAAAAAATTATTTCAATGCTCATTTTCTTTAATGCTATTGTACAAAATACATTAAAAAATGAGTGCTTTCTTAATGTTTAAGAAAATGTTTTGAGTCTTGCCATTTTTATCCATTTTGTCGGGACAACTAAACATTTTCTTTTTCAAGATGGCCTTTATCACAACTCAAAATTTAATAACAACACAAAATGTGAAAATTCAAAAATCGGGATATTACATTTTGCATGATTGTATTTTGCAATGATCTCGGCGCTAAATGTAACTGCAAAATGTAACAATTTTTAAAAGTCTTTTTAACATTTTGCGTTTATCAAATTCTGCGTTGATCTCGAAGAAAAATGTAGTAATACATTGCAATAATCTCGGTTTATTACATTTTACATTGTTATTACACTTCGGGTTGTATTAGTTCTTATATATAAACATGATAAACGCATCATAGTTCTATTGTCGATACAATGACCTTGTCAGCATATAAAATTTAAGGTTGAGTCATACAAATACATTTATCATTGAGTCAAATGCTAATTGACGTTTTTCATACTTATTGTTACATGTAGTCCATTATTTACGCACTGAATTGACGACGGATTTTTCCGTTATTTCCCGATGATGACAAGGAGCAAACGGCGGGTATAACCAGTCATGCAGGGGATGCTCACTCCTCCATGGCACCTGATCCCACCTCTGATGTTTTGGAGGTTCGTGTTTGCTCTGCTCCTATTTTGTATTGTTTTATGGATATTTGATTTTGAATATTGGTATTCATCTCCATATACGAGGGGCTTCAAAAAGTTCGTGGACTAGCGCCATAAAATTTAAACCAGTTTAGGTACATCAATGAATTTAAAATGTTTAATTATCGTCATCTTTTCTATCTATAGAATAAACCACAAATCATAAATTTCATTTTTAAAAATAAATTAGTAAAGTTTTTGTAGGCAATGGTATGTCCAGGCGGAGTAACCTCGAAAACGACGTTTTTTCGACCTAAGTGTAACTAAGATAAACAATTTGATATAAGTATTTGACATCCAAATATCCCGTTCATTCAGGTATGTGTTGAGACACTATTGTTTCAAAAAATATGAAATTTTACCTCATTCTGGAAGTTCTATGAAATAATTGTAAATTTTACAAGGGCTATTCAAATAAAAATTGCCTTGAAAATGATGTCAAAAGGGGGAGGGTTTTCCTTTTCCAACTTTCGATAAAGTTTTGCCCCTGGAAAAATTGGCATACACCTAGGAAATGTTTAAACTGGCTACGGAGAAATAATTTGCATCCAGATTACTAGTTTTTTAATGCCAAAATAGATTCAGAGAGAAAAGGGATACAAAGTTAATGTCGATTTGTAGTCAAGTTTTGAAAAATCAATCACGTCAAATAATGGTGTTGATCATGTGTTTTAACTATATTGAACTCCAAAAAACAAATATGCTGGTACAATCAAGGAGGAACTCTCCCAATGTATAAATCCATTTACAAAAATATATGCATTGAAAGCTGCTGCTCATGACATTGTAAAGTCATAAAAACAAGACGGATTGAAGTCCTTACTCAGCTCTAGGGAATCTCATCAAAATAAGTGTACGAGGTAGAAGAAGCGGACATTAAAAAGCAATGACGTTGTCAGACGTCATGAAACTAAGCGGCGAAGGCGCCGGGTGACCATATAATGTTTTTATTTCATAATAATTTGGGAGATAATGAACGTATCAAGCCAAAATCTTCAACATTTCTTTATTTTTTGTTGTTTTATGTTCCTTATAAATTTTGTAACCTCAGACAAAATAGTTTTAATTTTATAGCCTGAGTCCACAAACATTTTTTGATATCATTTAAGTATTCTGTTCAACAAAGACAAGAAGTTACTTCAAACTGCTAGTTTCATATAAGAGCAAACAAAAACATCATACTTATGTGAAAATGTATATATTGCTTATATTGAATTATACACGTGCATTGTTGGTCCCTTAGGCCGGTTATTGTTTGTACATATACAATTCATGATGCTACTTTATATAGTGAATGTCAAATGACTTTATACTGTGGTTTCATCAATATTCGTCGAGCACCAATTTTCGAGGATTTTGTTGTTGAGCATGTGCATGAAATTTAATGTTCATTAAATTAATAAATAAGTTATTCATTTGTATAGCCAATGCTTTTGTCAACGGAATAACATATCCTCGAAAACGTCTGTTTTTCAAAATCCGAGAAAAGCCAACGAAAATTGATGAAACCACAGTATTTGGGTATACTAATATATGTACAAATATCACCATTCATCATAATAAAAATTTCCCTAACTTCGCTGGTTGTTTGTATTTTTAATTTGTCCAAATTGTACAATTAAATGTTATTATTCTATAAGAAAAAAAATCACAATGAAATAAATGGAAAAGGAAATAGGGATTTATAAAAAAAAATCCAGGGGAAGGGGGCATGTGACGTGAAAGATACTGTATCAATGGTGATTTTGAAAAAAAAGAAAAAAGTCTTAATTGTTCTTGATTCCTGCAATCATTTTAACAACAGATGTATATATATCAGTCAGAAACTTTTTTCTAGACGAGTTTTCCCAATAGACAGAAATTGTACCGTAACTAAAATTGAACCGAATTGCATCTACTTTGTCAGGTTGGTTCTTTGGCATTCAAAGTTTAGACGTTTTAAAAAAGACATTTGAATCAATAAGTTTTTGCTTTAACAAATTAAATAAAAACTATAAGAAGTCATTGACTACCAGTGTATTTATGAAAGAAAGAAAACCTGCAAAATCTTATGCCTTATAATCTAGCATGAAATGTAAATAAAAATAAAAAGAATTTATTAAATATCATATTTAAAATGAAAGGAGAAAGAAGAAAATCATTTTTTTTTCAATGAACATAAACGTCAATATTTAATCTTTATAGAAGAAACACGGTGGCTTTTTTGTTTTATATTACAAAGGAAAAAAAGATCTGTTGTTTGGAAAAAGGAAGAAGTCAGGCAATGTCGTTGACTGACAGCAAGGTAGAAAATAAGCCCGTAAATTCTAAATTATAACATAAAATTCAGTCATAAAACTCGAATATATTTTTATGTTGTGTGCTTTTTGTTTTAATTTTTTGGGGTTTGGGATGGGAAGGGTATACTGAGATATATACACTTCGTATGCAGGTGATGAAGGTATATTGCTGCATAAGTAAGGGATGTTGACGATATAAAAGTTGAAGTCATCACCTTTATCATAGAACTTGAATTTAAATGTATTAAAATACATGTATACTAACATGTCAGAGACTAAGATTGTGATCTTAATTAATATTGGTAAACTCAGGTAAAACAAAAAACGTAGGGCTATTGACTAAAGATTACGCTCTCTGGAATGTATCTGATGTTCTTTTATCTGTATTTAATGTTGATAATAAGGCATCCAAACAAAAGACAGATTTAAAAAGTCAAATTAATACGAACAAAAATGGAATGGTACTACAAAATCCAAAAATCCATATTCAATACAGTATAAGACTTAATTGTTTTGTATTTCAATGCAATAAGAAGAAGACTGTGTGTAAGATAAAAGAAAAGATGGCTTGGAACGGTAGTGTCGAAGATAGTATGTTAGCAGGATCTGAAATAACCTGGAATTTTACCTTGCATAAAATTATGACATTAACCATATCTTCATTGGGGACTATTGTTAACCTTGTTGCTATTTTTGTGATAGT